TATGTTTTCACTCATTTTTATTGGCATGTACAGATATTCCTTAGAATACCTGATTCTCATAAGAAGGAAAAAGGCAACGGTGAGAACATGGTCGATAGGAACAGAGCTGCTTTGGAGCTGCGATCTGAGGATTTTGAAATGGCTAGAAGCAGCTGAATCACCACACGGACAAAGAGAGACAGGGTTTGTTTCTGTTGCAGGGTCAAATTAAGTCTGGAGTGGCTAAAAGTCAGGTGACAAGGTCCCTTGAAGAATTCAGCCGCCTTTCTGCTTCTGCATCTGAGTGCTTCTGCTGATTCTGCTCACTCCGTGGGTGCCTCCATTGGCATTCTGAGAGAGCTGTGGGCAGATGGATTCTAAGCATCTGATGAGGTCCTATGTTGGGGCCAGAAAATGGGCTTCTCGTGATGAGCTTTATCAGGGTGTTGTCAGGTAAATGTTGGTTCCCTCTGGAGGTTATAATTTTGTATCAGAGTCAAGACAATTACTACCATTTAATTTGGGGGGTGGAGGTAAAAGGCCCATCATCATCTACGAAACTTTGTGTGATGTAGAGCCCAGATTTCCTTATCTATTGTTCTGTTCATTTGTTTGCTCTTTTCTTCTCCATTTGTTCCTCCAAATCCTCTCTCTCCCCTCCCCTGCTGCCTTCTTCAAGTGAAAAATCCGAGCACTATTTTCCATGGAATGCCCACATTCTTGGTGTTCCTCAACACCAAGAGAAAAATACCAGAGCAAAATTTGAATGTAAATAGAACATAAGTACAGCATAGTCTTTTTGATCTTCATGGAGCTTAATTTTGCACACTTCACTCAAGCCCACTGATTAAAGGATATTTGGTTTTGAGTTTGGAAGTCGTTACTCTTGTGCCCTTCTTTTCTCTCAGTTGTGTTGCTTCAGGTTGTTTCCGAAATACTGGAATTCAGTTTTTATTGTTACAGCTTGTCTTATGATCATGAGGAAGAAAAGAGTAAATGAAAATGTAAACAGAATATACTCGGTTTGACTTGTCTGGAACCCGATTCTGCCACCTTCACCAAGGGCCAAGTCCTGCCATTCTACTTGTCTCAAGACAAGTTTTCCTCTTATTCCTTTGATGTATTTTGTAATAGTAATGCTTCATTTGTATGGCACTTTATCATTAGAATATTTCCACATGGGTTATTTCATTTGGTCTCACAGGGAAACTAGAAGTGGGAGGATGGATGGCTCTTCTTTTAGAAGAGGAAACCAGTGTTCATAAGAATCAAGCCAAATCGGGGATTTTCAGAATTCAGGTCCACTCTTTCCATATCATTGCAGCTCAGGGAGCCACAGGAATAGATTTTCTCCTTCTTTCTTATATCTTCCTTGTGGAAAAACATTAGGATCTTGGTCTGTGTACTTCTAGGCTAATTAAGAACTTATTATAATATGATTAGAGGATGGCCTATTGCCCCGTATACTATTAGGCAAGAAGGTACACTATTTAGCTGATTAGTGACTAAATTAAATTAATAGAAAAACTTGAAGAATAAGGTGATGATTAAACCTATAGTTACAGTTCAGTCATGCGTACCAAAATAAACCCCAAGTATCAGTGGGTTAAACAAGAAAAAAGTTTACATTCTCTGCCAGGTAAAATTCTGGAAGAATGGGCTGGTATGGTGACTTCACTTTGCAAATGTCCCTTCTAGGCTCCTTCTAGCTCACAGCTCTGCCAGCCCGTGTTGTGGTCCTGGGCAACAAGATGGAGGGAATCATAAAGATAAATCCATGAATAAAAAAGATAAAAATTCTCACTTCTGTGAGGGAAATGGTTACACACAATGTAAACAAGCAAATGTATTATTAGATGGTTATAAGGACTAAGGTTGAAAACAAAGCAGAAAAGAATGCTGGAGATGGAGAGATGTTTTAAGGGAGTTTTAAGGGAGTGGTTGGGTGTGGTACAGAGCAGCTGTGACATTTGATGGAAAACTGGGAGCCAGTGAGATAAGAAGAAGGATATCTGAGAGAAGAATGTGCCAGAGGCTAACAGCAAGTGGGAAGGTTCTGGATGAGAGCAAGAGAAGGCTAATCTTGACACGTTTGAGGAAAAGCAGAGATGCTAGTGGGCCTAGAGCAGGGGAAGTGAAGGAAAGACAAACAGAAGAGGAGATGAGAGAAGTAAGAGAGAAACACGTTACATACATGGTTGCCTTATGGCTTTTACACTAAGATGAAAGGCCATTGGGGGTTTGGGGCATGGAAGTGACGTAAGTAATATTTAATAGGACCTGTGGCTGCCATGCTGAAGCTTGGCTATTGGGGAGGCTAGAGGCAAAGCGGGGAAGTCAAATTGGATGCTATTTGTAGACATCCAGCAAAGAGTTGATGATGCGGCTTGGCTCTCATGACAACAATGGAAGTGAGAAGTAGTTGGAGTCTGGATAGGTTTTGAAGAAGAGTGCATTCAATTTATATTGCCGAGTAAGCAAATTACTACAAACTTAGTGACCTAATACAAATTTCTTATCTCACAGCTGACGTTGGTTGGGAGTCTGGTCACAGCTTACCTGGGTTCCTTGCTTCAGGCGGCAATCAAGGCATCTTCTCTGGAGGCTGGATGCCAGTCTTATCTGGAGGCTTGATTGAGGCTGAATCTTCTTCTGAGCTCATTCAGGCTGTTGGCAGACTGGAAAACAGGGATGCTTGCTTCTTCAAGTTCAGCAGGAGAGCCTGGAGCCCCAGTCTGCTAAGACAGATTCTTTTCTTACATAGTGTGACCATGGGAATGACATCCCATCACCTGTGCCTTATTCTGTTGGTTGGAAGCCTCAAAGATTCTGCTGTCACTCGAGGGGAGGGAACTCCGGGATGCTATAGGCCGAAATTCTTGGAGGTCACCCTAAGTTGTGTCCATTGCAACAAACAAACAGGATTTTGTTGCATTGTTTAGCGGTAGACTAAACATTGAGACAAAGGAGAGAACAACTGAAAAGTTGGATGCCATTAACTGAGATCAGGGAGAGAGAGAGAGGAAGGACCAAGAGCACAAATTTGGCGACATGAAGAATGAGATGTCCATTAAACACCCCTAGGAAGATGTCACATAGACAGTGCCATATGGAATCCAGAGTTAAGGGAGAAGGTTAGAGATATAAATTTGGGACTCGTTAGCATATAAGTGGTATTTAAAGCCAAGAAATGAGATCATTAGGGAGGAAGGGTAGACAAAAACCAGGTCCAAGGACCCTAGGCTCCCCATGTTAAAAAGTCAGGGGATCTTGGAAAAAGCAGGAAAGGAGAAGGGAGGTGACAGTGAGAGAAGAGGGGTGCAGGAGAGCCTGCTGTCCTTACGGCCTTTACAGGTTGATTTAATTCTTTAAAAATCTCAGAAGGCAAAGTTTTTTCCCTTACCTCTCCATTTTGAGAAACACTTAGCCATGCTCTTCTTTCTGAATGTGCTGCCTTTTTTTTTTTTCCCCCTTGAGTGGTCTTAGATGTCAAACATGAATGGAAACCAGGTTTGACTTTGTTGTGAAGGTTCAATAGCAAAGTTTACATTTCTGCCCAAATAAGCCAACCTCATTCAGCCGGATTGTGGACAACACCATCAGTGGGAGTGTGGGAACTGTTTTAGTTGGAGATTGACACCATAAAAAAAAAAAAAAAATGTTCTGTAAAATGTACACCCCCCCTTAGATACCAGGTGACGGATGTCATGTACTACCTCAAAAGTGAATGGTTTCAAACAATGACAAGAGAATGAGCCCTCCCTTGATGTATTGAACATGGGTGATTTTTTGTGTACACCCTTTGGTCAAACATTTATTTGAGTATCCTTTGGTTATGTACAGAAATTTGTTGAAATCATTAAAACGTTAAGACTTCCTATGGGCATAGTAAACCATCATCGGTCCACCCAACCTTAGCCTGAACCTAAGGATTTATTGCAATATGTTTTACTTGGCAGAGTCATTTCTGTTATGGAACACAGAGAAATAATCTTGAAATTCTTAGTGGTGAAAGTAGAAACAAAGTAGAAATCTCATTTGTGCAGATTCAATGCATTATGTTACAATTAGTGTCATAGACAATATGAACATGTATGCATACGCCGAGTCAGCTGTGTCTAGTCAAGCTATGTGACTTGATTCCTAGTCCCTTTGACGTGAAAACAAACCCCCCAAATGTTCACTTAGAAAAATATCTGTTCTCCAATTTCCACTGAAGAGTTTCTCAGGGGTCTTCATTGCCCAGCAATGTCAGAGTTGTGCTCATGGGACAAATTATGAAGCTCGTTTCTTATTTGGGTCATGATGATTAAGAATTAATCAGTGTTTGAAACAGCATGCAAATAATTCTGTCAGCTCTCTTCTACAGATTAGGTTATGGTCCTCATTTAACAGATGAGGAAACAGAAGCAGAGCTCACCTCCCAGGCAACCAGACACTGTACTTGGGGAGTGAGGCTGGTTGGCTCCTGTGGGACCACACAAGTGACATCCCCATGGGGCGGGGGGGTGGTGGGCAGCATTGAGTCCGGAAGTGGGAGTTACAAGCAGGGTAGTGAAATGGCTTCACTGCCTTTTTACATGGGCCTGGAGGTCAAGTTAGTTTATTTGTTTTTAATTTAGCTGAAATTATAGGCTGGTTGAAAGATTCCTTTGCCAGCAGGGATCTTTTGAATAGTCACACAAACCTTTTGGTCTCTCTCTCTCTCTTTCTCTCTCTCTCTCGCTTTCCTCCAACCTCTCCCCTCATTTGCAGGATTAGAAAAGCACTTGGGAGGCACATTCATCTTGCCGGTGTTGTCAGGAGTGATCAGCGAGTTTTATTAAAAGCCCTGGGATTGCCTGAAAAGCCTCCTTGTCTGGGTTTGAAATGAAAGGGACATGTTAAGATCTTGAGGCACATCGTCAGGACCCCTTGCCCTGCCCCTTGGACTATGAGCTAACATCTCTGGAGGAAGAACAGAAGCCCTCTTGTGTTGAAGGGATTTCACCGGTGGACAAACCGAGTTGGCCCCTGACAGCATGAGCTCTCTGAACTGGGGTGGGCCCAGTGCTTTGCTGCTGCTGCTCCTAGGCTGGGCCAGTCCCACCTTCATCAGCCTTAACCGTGGGGTCAGGGTGATGAAGGGCAGCTCTGCCTTCCTGTCGGGAGATGACCTGAAGTTTGCCATCCCCAAAGAGAAAGATGCTTGCAAAGTGGAAGTTGTGATGAACGAGCCAATGACCCAAAGGGTCGGGAAACTCACTCCACAGGTAGGTCATTCCTGAGATTTTTCTATTCGGTCATGTGTGTGAATGTGAGTGTGTATGTGTGTGTGTGTGTGTGTGTGTGTGAGAGAGAGAGAGAGAGAGAGAGAGATAGAAAGAGAGAGGGAGAGAATGAAACCAAACAGGGATGGGACAGCCTTTCAAAGGTTGGAGTAGGCCCTGTGTGGTATGATATGATCAGTCTTTATGGGATTATTCTTGTCCCAAATGAGCTCATCCATTGCTAGTCAGGGTGCCTTTGGGTAAGATATCAGGATTTCAAGATATGTTTTAGGCTACACTTGTGATTGCAGAATAGCACAAGTAAAACGTGAAGACATTTTTATCTGTTTCCATCACTAGAACATTCTGGGGAGTGGGAGGAGAGACATGGAAAGGAGAGGTGAAAATACTTCATTTTAAATATTCATTGTTTCTTCAAAAATGTCTGTAGAAAATGTGTTCCTTTAGTCAAAATCTTGGAGACCTTATCATTTAAGAGTATTATAGGCACAATCCTTTTGTAGGATTATCTTTTAAGAGTAGAATAGAGTTACCTTCTAAGTCATTGGGTTGAAAAAGTCTGTATTATCATATATTGTACTTGCTTGAAGTAGGAGTTTACCTCTATATAAAATAGGAAATTGGTTCTGGTTTTATAGCTCGTCCCTACTGTGGTTTAACTTCCTCCCAATGCAGACAATTTTGAGAATGTTCTGCACTGGCTGCTACTGCTGCTTCTGGAAACATGCACCATTATTTGTGAACCGTGAACATTAAGTTTCTTCTCCATTTGGCTAAAGACTTTGATTCCAGGAAGTTACTCCACAGTGGTACTAGATGATGTAGAGACAAATGGAAGGAGACTTAGATACTAACTCAAGTGGTTATTACAAGCTGTTTGATTTACCACTCTCAGAGGATAGGCCAATTCTGAAATACATCACAACTCTGTGGTGGCTTTCTACTTAGGGAGCATTCCTGATGTGACAGCAACAAAATGTCTCTCTCCAGTTTCCCACGAGATTTTCTTTTGTCAGTCAGAGCTTCTGATGGGCACCTCCAAACCGAATACAGTAATGGCCCCAGCTCCTAAGGGGTTGTAGTCCCAAGTGTTTGGGACTTGCAGCATCTTTATACTTTCTCCCAACACCATTTGCACTGCAAAAGTGTGTGTGCGTGTGTTTTAAGATTTTGTTTATAAGAGAGAGAGAGAGCACGAGCAGGGGGAAGGGCAAGCAGAATACCTGCTGGACTTGGGGTCCATTCCAGGACTCCAAGACCATGACCTGAGCCTAAGTCAGATGCTTAAGGGACTAAGCCACCCAGGTGCCCAGTGGAAGTTTGGTTGTTTGGAACTTACAGTCAGGGAAAGAAGAGAGACCTGGGGTGGCTCATACCTAGATCCCACATGACTAAGGGCAATGAGTAGGTGACATGAATAAGCTCAACTACGAAACATGGAGTCCTAACTACAAGGACTCAGTTTGTTAAAAGCAAATCCTTGGAGTTTTAGAGAGCAATAGAGGACCCTAGTCCTAGAACACTGGGGTCCGTGGCTGCACGGATGTATATGGGTGCCTTATCGAGAAATGAACTCATAATTTGGTACCCCTTCCAATCAATATATTTTTAAAAAGTGTTCAATATTTATTTAGAAGTGAGGTTGAATATTTTGTGAGGGAAGAGAAAAAAAATTCTTCCTGGTTTATTATCTCTGGTCCTAAGCGTGCAAAGCAAAAGCCCTGTTCTTCACCAGATTCTCCCTCCTTAGAAAGTAATTTGGGGAGAATATACTGTTCCTTAAGTCAGCCTCTGAGGAGTATCCTCTCCCTGTCCCAAATAGCCTATGGCTCATAAACATATATGTAGTACTTTCTCCACAAGTAGTGGAATTGTCTCCATTATTTATTTTTGGTGATGTTTAATGGTCTTTGCCATCTGGCCGTCTCTGAGATACTAGAGAGTGAAAGAGCATCTAAGTGACTACAATCAGGTAAAACACTTATTTGGGGTCAAGAGTTGTAAGATATCTCCTAGTCATCTCCATTCCATTCCAAAATTTCTCTGATTTTAAGACAAAAATCCAGTTGCTAGAAAGAATATGGAGCAGAAACAGCATGCCTGTCTGATTTAGGGACGTCTGAATAGGCAGGCCAGGGATGGGGCTCCAAAAAAGTCCCAACTTGTCCCCTCAAGTGCTGTGGCTTTAAAATGAGAAAATGTTCAGTGAGCGCATTTCTGGAGGTAAATATGGCATCTCAAATGGATTTGTGTGGTCTAAAGTAAATATGTGACTTGTATCTTCTAAAATTTATTGTGTGGAAAAGGAACCCATTGAGCTGTGGCATTTCATTACCTTTTTGTCAGATATTTGTACCAGAAGGAAATCTATGTATCCAGAAAACTTTGTTTCTCAAACTCCTGGATGATCTTCCTACTTCAGTATGATAATTTCAACACAGAAACCAGATTCCTACATAAAGTCTGTTGTTTTTTTTCTTTTCTTTTTTTGGGGGGATTGGGGGGGATTATGTGCCTATTTTTAATGCAACCCTCCCAAGGCTTGATTTCTTATGGTGTTTTTGAAATTAAACATAGCTGAATGCGCGCGCATACACACAAAGCCTGAGCATTATTCTTTTTTTTTTTTCTGAGCATTATTCTTTAATAGCACTTACCAGGAAGTTGAAAGCAAGGCTTATGTGAACCCATTTCTAGTGAGATGACTGTATTAACAACACCCTGCTGTGTAATGAACAGTTTGATTTTATTTGCACAGAAAATGTTTTGTTTAACATCTGTTCAATTAGTGTTTTCATTTCATTACTGAAGTTTGTCTTAGGACCAACAGGTTCATTTTCCTATTGGATATTTGGAAAGGGATTTCCATTGGCGCACACCAGTACCTTCTGTTTAGATAACCCTCCTGATGTAGTCAATTAGACAAGGTCTGTGGCAATATGTTTTCCCCATGTTTTAGGACGAGACTTCCTCACACAGAGCACTTCTCACACCTGTTTCAAAGCAAGACATTTCTTGGGTGGAAAATCACCTCAGTTTAGAGCTGAGCTTGCTTTTTTGAATCAGAAATATGGCCGTAAGAAAACATCTCTAGGTTGAACCAGTATACTGTCATTAAAGTGAGTAATGAATTAGGAATGTGTGACAATTTAATTATAAATTGTAATTGAAAAGCAGTTGAAGTGGAAAAAACCAAGGCTAGACAGTAATTAGAAAAGGATTTAGCTCTCCTTTGTTTTAGTTAGTAAATTTATGGACAATTATGGCTGTCGCCTTTTATAAAAGGAAAACATATTATGAAACATAAAACAGATGTTTCTTTTAACAAACCAGATTGTCTCTTTATCACCAGGACTATTTGTTAAAGATATGGGGAAGGTCTTTCCTTTATCTTCTTCTTTGTTGTCAATTAAAAAGAGGAACCAATGATGTCTGTGGGAAAAGAAGATCATTTGTATTAGTAGTAAAGTCTTAGAGAGGATGATGTTGTCTGTAAATGTTTGAAACTGTGACAAAATGTAGGCTAAACACCATGAACTCAACAGTTATGGTATGCGACTACTTCAAGGGTATTTCTTAACACTCTGCCAAGTCAGGCTGGGCAGAATGAGAGTCATGGTGTGGTTGGGAGAGAAAATTCTTCTTTTAAGAATTAGAGTCCCCTCCCACCCCCAAAAAAGAGAGTTCCCAAAATACAACGGTACAATTTCCTTAATAGTTCTGAGTGAGGTGATTCGGTTAATTATAATTTTATTTGGGTGGAAGAAATTACCTTTAGCTTGCTATTGGTCTCATCAACCACTTTTAAAAAAGATCTTGTTTATTTATTTGAGAGAGGAAAGTGCATGAGCAGAGGGGGGCCAGGGAGGGAGAGAGGTAGAGGGAGAATCAGGCTCCCCGCTGAGCAGGGAACCCCAGGTGGGACTTGATCCTAGGACCTGGGGATCACAACCCAAGCTGAAGGCAGGCGCTTAACCACCCACGCCCCCTCATCAACCATTTCTGCTGTTAGTAACCAGTAAAGCAGTCTTTTGCAATTATATGAGAAGCAATTCGGGGCCACGTTTGGCTCTGATCAACCACAACAGTGTCCATAGCCTGTGGCTTCATTTTTGAATATAAAAATGCTATTTGGAAAAGAAAGAAAGAAAGGAAAAGAAAAAGATATATAATTAATACAGTGTGTTTGTGTGTGGGGCAATGTGTACCTTTTCATGCATATGCACAGGTAGGACTCCATTGCTATGAATCCCTGAAGGGTGTGGGTATATTATAGTTTGATAAATAGAACCATAGTTTAAATATACTGGAGACTGTAAACAGAATCATTTTAAGAGATAATTACTCCTTAATATATCTGCTTGATCTGTTTGGATTATCATGGTTTGGATATTCTTTTTTTTTTTTTTAAGATTTTATTTATTTATTTGACAGAGAGAGAGATCACAAGTAGGCGGAGAGGCAGGCAGAGAGAGAGCGGGAAGCAGGTTCCCCGCTGAGCAGAGAGCCCGATGCAGGGATAGATCCCAGGACCCTAAGATCATGACCAGAGCCGAAGGCAGAGGCTTAACCCACTGAGCCACCCAGGCACCCCATGGTTTAGATATTCTTAAAATAAAACACACCTATAGAAGCAGGCTGGGAGCAGGCACAGGGGCTGGCAGAGATGGTGGTGGTTACAACATGGACACGCGTATGCACACACATACACACGCAGACCCACCCCTCTAACAGACCATGGTTTCCCCAGGCAGTACTCTACTGCCAGAAACATCTAATCTTGTACCAATTTTTTTCACAAATATTTATCCATTTCTTCATGTGAACTAGGTCTTTGACTGCCATTTCCTTCCCAATGAAGTAAAGTATATTCATAATGGTTGCCCGATTCTTGATGAAGACACAGTGAAGCTTAGACTTTACAGGTAAGCAGCACACATAACCATTCTGTGTACTTCTTCAGGATTTTTCTATAGATTGATGTTATCTTGAGGCTAGTTGCTAGATCCCAAACAATCAATAGAAATTGGGGACCTAAGTAGGTGAGGCAAGAATTGTTGTCGACTTTCAATCATCTTTATTTGTATCATCTTCCTGGGAGCTTTTCTTGGAAAGCTTCTGTCCTGTTCCCCTGTAGAGTTCTTGTACAGGTCACTCTGGTGCTCTACCTTCCTGCTTATGATGGAAAATTAAAATTATGAAATACAAATTCTTAAAAAGAACTCAGAAAATATATTCCAAAATTGAATGATAGTCTTTATTTTGATTATCAGCTGCTCAGTTAATAAGAAGTATGTCTTCTAATCATAAGCATATTAAATGATAAAAATGTTTAAATAATCAGCTATAAAGTTAAGTACAGAGTGACTGTGTGAGCCAGGAATTCTACTCTTAAATATATGTGTAAGAGAAATAAAAAACTTTATTTCCCCCAAAACTTGCACACGGATCCTCATTTTGGCATCATTCATAATAGCTAAAAAGTTGAAATAACCCAACTGATGAATGTGTGAGCAAAATGTGGTGTATCCATACAATGGAATATTACTCAGCAGATGAAGTACTGATGTAGGCTGTAACATGGGCGAACCTTGAGACCATCATGTGAAATGAAACACACCAGACACAAAAGGTCACATACCTTTTCTAGAAAAGGCAAATCCATAAAACGCAGAAAACAGATTAGTGGTTGCCGGGGGCTGGAGGAAGGGCAAATGGGGAGTGATCACTAACGGGTATGGATTTCTTTCTGTGGAGATAAAAACGTTCTGGAATTAGGTGGTTGTGATGGTTGCACCACCTTGTGAATATACTAAAAACCACTGAGTTGTATACTTTAAAAAGGTAAATTTCATCTCAGTAAAAATTAGCTTAAAAATTAAGTTCAGGGGCTCCTGGGTGGCTCAGAGGGTTAAAGCCTCTGCCTTCGGCTCAGGTCATGATCTCAGGGTCCTGGGATCAAGCCCCGCATTGGGCTCTCTGCTCAGCAGGGAGCCTGCTTCCCCTTCTCTCTCTGCCTGCCTCTCTTCCTACTTGTGATCTCTCTCTGTCAAATGAATAAGTAAATAAATCTTTAAAAAAAAATTAAGTTCATGGTTATGGTATTGCTCACTTCATAGAGGTAACTGACAATGCAGTAAGTGGAGTAGGTTTTTTTTTTAAGATTTTATTGATTTATTTGATAGGGAGAGAGCACAACAGGAGGAGAGGCAGGCAGAGGCCGAGGGAGAAGCAGGCTCCCTGATGAGGGGAGAGCCTGACGCGGGGCTCAATGCCAGGACCCTGGGAACATGATCTGAGCCGAAAGGCAGATGCTTAACTGACTGAGCCACCCCTGGAGTAGGGTTTTAGATAGATTTTTACTTGGTTTTATGGCTGTTATGAATATCTGGCTAAAATATCTTAGTGTGAATTTCCCTTAAGTACCACAGTACTATTGCAAAGAGTTTTGTAGAAGACGCTAGCATGTTGAATCGTTCTATAGACACTTATAATCACCTACTATAACTCAAGGCCCAATGCTGGGCATAGGAAACACAAGGATGAAGATTCATGGATTTTTGGTGTTCGTAATCTGATGCAAAATATGGTAGATAACTGTAATGTGAACAAGGGCTGAAAGAGAGGCTTAAACACAATGCTGTGCTCAAAAAATGAAATAGTACCCAAAGATTCTATATCACCAGCACACAGGGCTGTTTGATCTTTCTTTCTTTCTTTTTTTTTTTTTAAAGATTTTATTTATTTATTTGACAGAGATCACAAGTAGACAGAGAGGCAGGCAGAGAGAGGGAGGGAAGCAGGCTCCCTGCTGAGCAGAGAGCCCGATGTGGGACTCGATCCCAGGACCCTGAGATCATGACCTGAGCCGAAGGCAGCGGCTTAAACCACTGAGCCACCCAGGCGCCCCTGTTTGATCTTTCTAAGGCTGTAGAGTTAAAAAACTAACTTTGGACAGCTTGCCTGGAAGGCTGGAAAAGCTGGTAGTTCTGGCTTCTCCACTTCTTCCTTGAGTTTCCAAGGGACAGGATAGTGGAGAAGGCAAGCAGGGCTCAGTCAAAGCAGCTGCTGGAGGACATTCGAAAGAAAATATTTAGAGTTGGAGGCAGAAAATCAGAGAACATGCTTATTCCCCTCTCACCTCCCCCTCAGCTCCTTTGGCGAGCTACTTGGCCTCTGCCTCAGATTCCCCCTCTGTAAAGTGGAATTTACAACGTCTCTCATAGGTTTCTGAAGCGCAGAAAGGTGTTGATGCTTCAGAAACTCCTCATCCTTTCACTCCTGAATTAAAACCCGATCCATAAATTACACAAGCTTGCTACTCAAATGACAGATGTGCCAGAAGTGAGATTCTGAGCTCCCAGCCATCATTACATATCAACGTGGATGATGGGTTTGAGAGAAGTGTGGAAAGAAAGCTCACTGGGGAGGGAGATGGCAGATAAAGGAGTTGACTCCAAGATAAGGAGAAGAAAGGAAGAGAACAGAGATTGGGAGTAGAGTATATAACAAAATCCAAACTCTACCCCATATGCGCATTTTATAAAGTCAGTCTTTAGATACCGGAAGTGTACCTGAGCTCTGGTAAACATCGCCTTTGTTCTCTCCACAGATTTACTGAGACAGATACCTTCACAGAAACCTTTATCCTGCCGGTCTATCTCCTCGAACCAGACTGTAACATCATCCGTAGGAGTAACAATGTCCTGGAGGTGTCTAAATTCTATGGCCTTTCCCCAGCCATTGATAAGAACCTCCTCAGATTTGATTACGAGAGGACGGCTGGCCTGGAGTGTACAGTCAGGCTGGATCCTGTGGGAAGCCGGCTGCCCGCCCACGGTCAGATGGTCCTGCTGGAGCCTCGGCCAGAAAAACCTCGTGGAGATCAGCCACACAGTTTTTTCCCTGAGTCTCGTATGTACCGTGTTCTTTTTTGTTACTTTTTTTTTGAAGATTTATTTATTTATAAGCAAGAGAGGGAGGGATAGGGAGAAAGTGAGAATGGTAGAGGGAGAGAGGGAAAGAGGGAGAGAGAATCTCAAGCAGACTCCCTGCTGAGCTTAGAGCCTGATGTGGGACTTGATTTCACGACACTGAGATCATTACCTGAGCCAAAACCAAGAGTCAGATGCTTAACCGACTGAACTACCCAGGCTCCCCTCATCTGTGTGTTTTAATACGTACCCGAGTGTTAATAGAACTGACAAAAACATCTGTTAATAGTCATCTTCTACTTTGACAAAAAATATCTTATATCTTTGATATAATAACTGGTTGAAAAATGTAGGCTAGTGGTTAAGAGTATGGACTTTGGAATCAGATCGATCTGGGTTTGAAACAGCTTCTGCTCTTTACTTCCTAAGTGATTTTAGGTAACATATTTAACCTGGTTAAGTCTCTGTAAAATGGGCAAAGATAGTAGCTGCTCCCCAAGTTTGTGGCAGGATGGAGTAAATGAGATCACGTGCATGAAGCGGCCTTCGCATGGTGTCGGGCCCATAGCAGGCACTCAGTGATGGTCAGCTGTTATTCACAGTGACAGTGGTAGTAGTAGTAAGAGTAGCTGGTGCATTTATTAAGTATTATTTGATTACAAATAAGTTTGACGTAGAGCAGGTGGCCAGTAGCTGTGGTTTAAATCAGGAGGAGTTGATGGATGAGGTTCCTTCTGTTACTCATCTAATCAGTATATTTTGGGTACCTCCTCTGTGCATAATAATGTTCTAGGCACTATGGGAAGACCAGTAATCACAGTCATAGTGATGCCTTGAATTTGGGCAACAATTTACAGCTAAAAGTATGTTTGCACATGAACCCTCCCATTTAGTGTTCATGACCATCTGGCTAAAAATTAGAATACTCATTTTATACATCAGGGAAAGGCCACTCGAAAAATAAGTGGCCTATGGGTATCACCCTACACGACTGTAAAAAGAAGTTGGGCAGAGAAAGAGACACACTCTTGAAGAGATGATGGTGGTTTTTAGTGGGAGAGAGCAGGTTGGTTCAGGCTGTCAAAGATTACTTAAAGGAGGGTTTAGTAAAAGGACTAAGGGGACCTGGAAAGGTGTCAGGACTTGGGGGTGTGATGAACACAGTGGGGAGCGAATTTCAGCAAGTAGAACAGCCTTGGAGAGAGTGCATGATGGAGCCGTGGACATGCATGCTGTGAAGGAAGACCAGCACTAGACTGTGGAAAGCCAGTCTTGACCCAGTGGCCTATTTGTCAGGGATGTTCGTCATCAGAACATGTATTTTATTATTTTTTCTCTCAGTGTAACATTCCGTGGGCAAGGATCTCCGGAGAAAATGGGTCAACCGTTCTTTTTAGGAAAAGAAGTTATAGGGTTATCGAACAATGCCACCCCCCTCTGTGAATGATTAGAGGGCATGCGTGGGTATTACTGAGGCAGTCAGGATCCACAGGAGGGAGGATTTTAAAAAATTTCACGTTCATGCTCAAGTAGCTGTCTTAACTCAGTGCTGTACATTCTAGAACTGGGAACAGAGCTGAGGTGTCCAGGTGGAAGCTGTGCCCTGGGACTGAAGAAAATGGGAAGTGCCAAGGTGAGCTGTGAGGAGTTCCTGCTGATGGGGCTTCGCTATCAACACACAGATCCCCCTTCTCCCAACATCGACTACATCTCCATCCAGCTGGACCTCACAGATGGCAGGAGCAAAATCGTGTACAAGGTAGAGTTGGGGGTTATGTGTCTGTGTGCCCGGCTGATCTGCAGCGAGAGAGCCACTTTTGTGGGGGTGCTCATGCTGGCTGCCATGCCAGGGACAGCTCCTGTGCTACCATGGGTGGGACTGCCCAGTGACTCATTAGAGCTGCAGAATATAAGTGTATAATTTCCCTTCCCTGCCTCTCTTCTAGCTTTGCCCCTCTAAGGCAATGGAGGAAGGACTGGTCTGGTCACATGCTACCCTTCTTAACGCCTCTTCCTTCAGTTTTCTTTAGCTCGACATTTGGTCTTTTGGAGCACCCTCTCTTCCAGGCTTCATTTCCCCCCTTCTTGGTTAGAACCTCTTTTCGCCTGTTAGAGGAAATGAGGGGGTCCACAAATCAACTAGGCAAGGCTGTGGGAGACAAAGAGCAAGTCAGTCCCAGTATTATGGGTATAGTGGTTTATATCCTTTTTACTCTTTTAGACTGTGAGATGGAAGACCAGGCCATCAAGGAGACGGCCCAAGGCCCCCTCCATCTTTCAGTCTCTTTCAAATCCCCCTGCCCTTTCTTCCTATTGATCTCTTCACATTGAAATGAAGGTAGAAGATGAAATCAATTTATATGAAATATTTAACATCCTACTGAATTGATTCATGTACTCTATAATTTGTTTTATTTGGGGCAACTGTGTACCAGCTGAAACAGCTTGGATTCTGTGCTGACATAAGATGATCCAAGATTAGAGTCATGAGAGACCTCCATCTTTCAAAATTTGACTTCTCACAGGATTTCTCCCAAGAAAGTCAGATATTGAACATTGTCACTCCCAAGGAATGGATAAAATACAAAATGATAAGAAAATGACAAGACAGAATCAGAGGATTATCGAATTGAGATAAAAAAACAACTTTGAGATGGTCAGGTCAAATCACCTGGTGAATTTTCAAAGATTTTTAAAAAGATTTCTGAGCCTAACATTAATAGCTAAGAGCATGAACCCTGCACCCACTTTGCCTGGGTTCAAATGTGTGTTTAACTAGCTATTTGACTTGGATTTTATGTCTCATTTTAATAAATCTTAAAATGGAAATAATGGAACCGACTTCTTAGAGTAATTGAGAGAAATAAACAAGATAAAAGACAGTTGGTACAAAGCCTAGCACATAGTAAGCATGGGGCGTATTTTGCTAGTTAAAAAAGCCACCTGGGAAAAAAAATGGATCATCAGCTAGGTTTGGAAACAACTGGTGTAGCCCAAACATCTTGTTGTATAATGGTGATCAGAGAAATCATATACCTTGTACATACATACACAGCCGTTTTATGACCGAGTCAGAACTAAATTCTAGGTCTCCTAACTAGTAGTAGATGTCTTCTTGTCTTTTTGACACAAAAATATTTTTACTTTTATCTTATTTTATTTTGTTTATTTTAAGAGAGAGAGAGAGAGAGCGAGCATGAGTGGGGACAGGGAGAACACAGGGAAGAGAGAGAGAATCTCAAGCAGGTTCCATGCTCAGTGCCTAGCCTGACACAGGGTTCAATCTCAGGACTCTGAGATCATGACCCAAGCTGAAATCAAGAGTTGGACGCTTAATTGACTGAGCCACTCAGGCGCCCCAAAACTTTCACTTTGATTGACTTATCTCCATTAAAAAAATATATACTCATTTTTCTTCCTGACTGATTTTTAAATTTTACTTCTCTATATTGAGTTAGGGCTTTATTGTTTATATTTTTAGATCCGTTTGATTGAGATTTTACCCCGTAAAATGACCTTCTTGTTTTATTAATTAACCTACTCCATAGTCAATTTGGCATCATAAAACACATTCTTTTATGAATATCAAAGTAATATGTTCACTGCAGAGAATTTTTTTTTAAAGATTTTATTTATTTATTTGATAGACAGAGATCACAAGCAGGCAGAGAGGCAGGCAGAAGAGAGAGAGGAGGAAGCAGGCTTCCCGCTGAGCAGGGAGCCCTATGTGGGGCTCGATCCCAGAGCCCTGGGATCATGACCTGAGCCGAAGGCAGAGGCTTTAACCCACTGAGCCACGCAAGCGGTCCCAGAGAATTTTTTTTGAAAAACACACAGAAAGTAAAATAAGAAGAAAATGAAATGAGCTATGTTTCTCCCACTTTTTACACACACACGTATGCACACTCATGGTCAGGAGACATGCACACCAATTGTTGGTTTTGTTTTATGTGACTGAATTTATACTATATTTGAAGATTTTGAATCTTGTTATTTTATTATTTTTATATTTGTACAGTCTGTCCTCATCAAGTGACTAAGTGACTATTTAATCCATAATTTCTTCTAGGTTCTTAAGATTTTCTTGTTTATAGTTGCCTTTTTAATCCATCTGAAATGAATTTTATCATATTGTGAAACACAGGAACAGTTTTTTTCTCCAAGTAGTCAAAATTTTCAACACTAGATGTTGAATAATGAACCTGTTTCTCATTGATTTTTGATGCTTCTTCTATTGAATAGAAAGAAGGGCTAGCTCTTTTGTTTCTTAGATATACCTCCTTATTTCTGTGCCAGTATCAGTTATTCTAAATATAAAAGGTCAATAATACACTTTAATATTTTACAGGCAAGTTCTTCCTTATCACTTGTCTTCAAAGTTTTCTTATCCATTCTCACCTAATCTTAGTTCTCAATAAAGAATTAAATCATTTATTTCCATTAAAGTAAATGCCTATGTATTTTTATCAGGATGAGATTAAAACTATAAATTATTTTGGAAATAATTGGAATATTAGAACATTTACCACACTGAGCACTCTCATCCAGAAATGAGGGACCTCACTTCATCTAGGCAAATGTTCTTTGATGTGTTTCTGTAAAATTTGCAGTTTTCTTCATGTAAGTTGAGCACACTTATTAGTCCAGTCCTAGGCAGTTTGGTTTTGAGAAATTACTGTGAATAATTCCCTCCATTATATCTTCTCATTGGTTACTGATGATAAATAGGAAAGCTATTTTTGGTATAATTTTCTTTTATCTGGCTTCTTTCTTGAATTCAATTATTCTAAGAATTTTTCAGTTCTTTGGGTTTTTGAAGACCATAATTATGTCTTTCACTAATGATGATAATTTTGTCTTTTCTTTTTCAGTAATTATTCCTCCTTTTTTTTTTTTTTTTTTTTTTTTTTTTTTGCTCTGTTCCCCACTGGTTTGGCCAGAATAATATTAAATATAATGATGCTTATAAGAATACTTGCTTGTATATTTTATCAATCTTAACTGCCCACCCACACTGTCCTTTTTTTGTGGGGAGGGGTTTAAAATTTAAATTCAATTAATTAACATATAATGTATTATTAGTTTCAGAGGTAGAAGTCTTATCTACCTCTGTGATTCATCAGTCTTATATAATACCCAGTGCTCATTACACTACATGCCCTCCTTAATGTCTAACACCCAGTTACCCCATCCCTCCCCTCCAGCAATCCTCAGTTTGTTCCCTATGATTAAGAGTCTCTTATGGGGGATGCCTGGGTGGCTCAGTCATTAGATGTCTACCTTCAGCTGAGGTCATGATCCCAGGGTCCTGGGATCGAGCCCCACATTGGGCTCCCTACTCTGTGGGAGCCTGCTACTTCTCCCACTCCCTCTGTTTGTGTTCCTCTCTCTGTGTCTTTCTGTCAAATAAATAAAATCTTAAAAAAAAAAAAAAGGGGGTCTCTTACGGTGTGTCTCCCTCTCGATTTCATCTTGTTTTATTTTCCCTCTCTTTCTATATAGCCCTCTGTTTTGTTTCTTAAATTCCACATATGAGTGAGATCATATGATAATTGTCTTTCTCCGATTGACTTACTTCACCTAGCATAATACCCTCTAATCTCTAATTCCATCCATGTCATTGCAAATGGCAAGATTTCATTTTTTTGATGGCTGAGTTGTACTCCATTATATATATATATATATATATACCACATCTTCATTATCCACTGATCTGTCAGTGGACATCTGGGATCTTTCCATAGTTTGGCTATTGTGGACATTGCTGCTATAAACATTCAGGCGCACATGCCCCTTTGGATCACTATATTTGTATCTTTGGGGTAAATACCCAGTAGTACAGTTGCTGGGTCATAGGGTATCTCTAATTTCAACTTTTTGAGGAATCTCCATATTGTTTTCTAGAGTGGTTGCACCACTCTGCACCACCAACAGTATAGGTGGGTTTCCCTTTCTCTGCATCCTTGCCAACACCTGTTGTTTCCTGACTTGTTAATGTTAGCCATTCTGACTGGTGTGAGGTGGTATCTCATTGTGGGTTTGATTTGCATTTCCCTGAGGCCGAGTGATGTTGAACACTTTTTCATGTGTTTGTTGGCCATCTGGATGTCTTCTTTGCAGAAATGTCTTTTCATATCCTCTGCCCATTTCTTGTTGGGATTATTTGTTCTTTGGGTGTTGAGTTTGATAAGTTCTTGATAGATTTTGGATACTAGCCCTTTATCTGGTAAGACAGTTGCAAATATCTTCTCCCATTCTGTTGGTTGTCTTTTGGTTGCTGACTATTTCCTTTGCTGTGTAAAAGCTTTTTATCTTGATGAATTTCTAATAGTTCATTTTTTCTGTCATTTCCCTTGCCTTTGGCGATGTGTCTATGAAGAAGTTGCTGTGGCTAAGGTTGAAGAGGTTGCTGCCTGTGTTCTCCTTCAGGATTTTCATGGATTCCTGTCTCACATTTAGGTCTTTCATCCATTTTGAGTCTATTTTAGAGTATGGTGTAACAAAATGGTCTGGTTTCAGTCTTCTGCATGTGGCTGTCCAATTTTCCCAACACCATTTGTTGAAGAGACTGTCTTTTTTCCATTGGACATTCTTTCCTGCTTTGTTGAAGATTGTTGACCATAGAGTTGAGGGTCTATTTCTGGGCTCTCTAATCTGTTTCACTGTCTATGTGTCTGTTTTTATGACAGTACCATACTTTCTTGATGATTACAACTTTGTAATATAGCTTGAAGTCCATAATTGTGATGTCACCAGCTT